GGTAACTGTGGGTGCCATTGTAGTACAGTGAACTCATTGTTATGTTCAAGAAACCAATTTCAAATGATTTCAGCTTTGTGACATGGTGCATTATCCTGCTGGAAGTAGCCACCAACAACCATGCCACGCTCAAAATTGCTTAAATCACCTTTCATTCCCATTCTGACATTCAGTTTGGAGTTCAGGAGATTGTCTTGACCAGGACCACATCCCTAAATGCATTGAAGCAACTGCCATGTGATTGGTTGATTAGATAACTGCATTAATGAGAAATTGAACAGGTGTTCCTAATAATCCTTTAGGTGAGTGTATATGACAAAAACTCGCGGAGTTATTTAAACGGTTTTGCGAAATTTCTGTCAGATCCCGCCGGCGGGACCGCCGACCCCAGGGGGTTAAATCACCCTTAGGGTTAGGACTAGTCCGCCATGAACCAACAGGCTGAAGTAAGTAACACCAATGTATTGTGTTGGATATGTACACAGGTGTGTTGTCTTTGAAATAATTTATTGGTCGCGACCTGGAAATACTTTTTATAACGTTTACTGGTGAAATCCATACACGCATGCATTGATAATGTAAGAGTGCCATCTACTGGACATCTACTGTATCACAGCCAGTCCAGGTCCAGTCCTTCGCCAGCAAAGGACCTCCTCCTGACCCCATAGTCAAACAAGAGCTATTCATCAACAGCAATGTCCTTCATTGCAAAGAATAGTAGAATGTCCCTGTCATCAAAACGATATAATCTTGGCCGGAGGTTAGCTCGCTTGCTTGAATGGTTTATTAGCCTTCCAAATGTATCCATGTCTGGATGGTACTGGCAGTGCTCATCATTTGCATCTATGCATTTGGCCTGTCCATTCCTGTCCTTATAAAAAAACATATATCCACTCTGTCCTTCTGCCATTTGACTATGGATCTGAAGACCCTCCTGCCTTGTGACTTGCCTGCCTTGGTAGTCACAGATTACCTCTCCAGCCACAAACTTTCTTGTTGCTTTCACTCCTCTTCCTTTGCCTTCAATCTCTACGATGATCAGTCCCATCCACCTCTGATTCTGGAGGAGCTTCTTGATCATGGAGCAGTGTCCACTGAACCAGAAGGACTCCATTGCCTCAGGATCTGCTGAACATCAGGACAGTTGGAAGTCCAACCCTCCTTCTCCATCCAGGCATGGACCCTGTGCTCTGTGGGCAGGCGCCGACCAAAGTGCTCTGCCAAGAAAGATATTCATTATTAGTCAATATATGTAGATTTAACTGAGTGTTTCAGCTCTAAGAAATGTGAATGATATTCAAGTGGTATAGATTTCACTCACCTATCACATGCTTCATTCGAAGAGTCTTTTGGTCACTGCACCAGTGGTCGTAGCACAGACGTTCATAGGTGATCCCCACAAGTTCAGTCCGCACTGACTTCCCTGGACATCTTCCGTCAATGGCCACTGGGAAAGACTTGATGAACAAGTCATAGGCAGCCCGCTCATCCATCTGTGGACATCCGGCACCAGAGGTATGAGGTACAGGCTCACTGGAACCAGAACTGGAACAAAGAAATAAATAACATGCTATATTTATGTGGACAAATTAAGTAGTTGTTGACCAAACAAAGCATTTTTCAGCAAATTACAAGAAATCTATTTACTTACTCTGATTCACCAGCAATCAGACTTAGCAGCATGCGTGCCCGGATCACATTGCCTGACTCGGTGGACGTGCTGGGGGAGAGGTAGTCTGCCACCACGGACCTATCCATGTGTGACAGGTGCCTGGTGGCAGTCTCAAAGGCCTGTCTGGCAGCCAGACTTGTAATATTTGGAAGGCTGTAACTGCAAGAAAACATTTCAGATGTTAATATATCACCACCCACCACATGGTTGTGACACAACTT